GGAGTTGGAGTCCCACTCTGTTGCCTAGGCTGGAGTACAGTGACACACTCACGGCCCTCGCAGCCTCAACCTACTGGGCTCAGGCGATTCTTTCACCTCAACCTTCCAAGCAGCTGGAACTACAGGCGTGCATCCCCACGCCCAGCTAACTTTTTGATTTATTGTGGAGACAAGGTCTCACCAAGTTGCCCAGGCTGGTCTTGAACCCCTAGACTCAGGCAAGTCTCTCACCTTAACCTCCTGAAGTGCTGGGATTACAGGCTTGAGCCATCGTGCCCGGCCAGGGCCAAATTTGATTCATCTCTATTCCCAGGCTCAGTGGAAGACTGAGTGCTGAGTAGCACTGTGCAGTATATGCCCTCTGAGATAATAAAAAGAGACAGATGATCTAGTTCCTGCTCAAAGAAGACATACAGTGCAGGTGGTGATATAGAACCTATATGCATAGGTTAGATATAGAAAAAGAACATTTCTATGAGCACAAATTATATTATAAGATGAATCCCAGAACAGTGAGGTGAGAAAAGTTGAGTAGTGTTGAAGAAGGAAGACTTTTTGAAGGAGACATTTTGAGCTAAGATTTTTTGGTTTTTGGTTTTTTTTTAGTTGAAGTCTCACTCCGTTGCCCAGACTGGAGCGCAGTGGCTGCTCCCGGTCACCGCAGCCTCAACCTGCTGGGCTCCGGAAATCCTTCCGCCTCAGCCTTCTGAGTAGCTGGAACTATAGGCATGCGCTACCACACCCGGCTAATTTTTATTTATTTATTGTGGAGATGAGGTCTCACCAAGTTGCCCCGGGCGAGTCTTGAACCCACGGGCTCAGGCAATCCACTCACCTCAGCCTCCCAAAGTGCTGGGATTACAGGCTGAGCCACCGAGCCCGGCTTTGAGCTAAGGTTTTAAAGATTAATAACTTTACTGGGTTTTCTCTCATTATAAAAGTGGCTCATGTTACAGCAGAATATAACTTGAAATCATAGTCAAAGCTAGCCAACCTTAACATTATAATGTATATTCTTTTTGTCTTTTTCTCTAAGCTTAGGACTTCTAAGTGTAAATGCTTTTAAGTAACTGGCCTATAATAACTGCATAATAAATGGCGACTAGAGTAGGACCAAAAACTGCTTGGGAAAGTAGTAAACAAGCTCACATGGGGAAGCAGAAAGTTATTGTTTAAGCATCTTTGACCTGGGAGAGAAGACTTAAGCTGCTGCAGCTGCAAGAAGCCCCTTTCCTCGGCTCTCTCTTCTCTACTGTAGAGTAGAAGCTGAATTGGACCCAAGGAATCCAGCTGTGACAAATTCGCTGTATTTGAGAACCCAAGAGATCTAGAGTTTGGGGTTCTGAAAGCTTAGCAACATTGGGAGCTGTGGGAGTGAGCATGTTTTTAGGCTGCTCTGCTAATGGCCTGCTAAGCAAAGCTGGAGAGTTTCTGGAAACTGCCTGCCTCCTGCTCTGTATGTGCAGATAGTCCTCCAGGTGAAGGACTTGCTGTTTCCACCAGTGCCCCTCTAAAGAGGCCTCAGCCAACTAGGCCCCCAAACAGCTGAATGCTTAGGATGAGGGTAGATTCAGTTGCCAAGGGCCTATTTTCTTGTCTCTTCCCCTTCCAATGCAGATGAAGCCCAGGAAGCAGAAGCCATTCAGAGCCTCACTTCCATCTTGAACATTCGAGAATCTACATCTGACAAAGCCCCCCAAAAAACTATCTTTGTTCTGAAAACCCTGGTGATGCTTTACTACCTGATGATGAATTCTGCAAAGGCAAGTTTCCCTAGAAAAGCAAAGTATCTCAAATGAAAGTAGAAATTAACCTAGTTGAATTCAGCTGTGTTTTGCTCAGTTTCACTAGCCTTTGCCCTTCAGAGCAAGCCTTCATTTCCAAAAAAGTTCAGACGCTCTTGACATTTCTCATTTGTTGAGTCCAGCCTGCATAATGGAGACTGAGTTGCCTTCTTCCCTCAAGGGGGCCTTCCCAGGGCTGTACAGATAAACAGTCTGAAGCAGTGCTGGGAGGACTGCAGGGGGGCTCTGGAGAGGCCTTGGAGGAATGAAGTAGCAGCTCTGACTCACTCACTGAGTTCCCTATTGCTATGGGGAATCAGGCAGAAACCTATGGCCATGGAATGATTTAAAAGGTAACTGTTTTGAGTACTTATTACATGCCAGTCATTGGCCTAAGTCCTTTAATAATTATCATATTTAATGCTCACATCAACCTTATAAGGTAGGTATTTTGTTATCTCCACTTTACAGATAAGGGAACTGAGGCACAAAAAGGGTCAATTCTTTGTCCAATGTCTTAAAGACAGTAAGTGGCCTATCTCAGATTTAGTGACTGACTGATTAACTCAAAAATGTATTGACATCTACCATTTACAAGGCACTAGTCTATAGATGGGATACGGTGGTAAATAACCAGATATTTCCCATCTCCATGACACTTGTGTTTTTTGGAGCAGAGGAAGTAAACATATAAATCCGTAATGTAGTTTCAGATAGTGGAAGGTGCTATAAAGAAAAATAAATCAAGCAAGAGGAGAAAGAGAGAGGGAACTGGCTGGAGGAGGTTATGTGGGTGCCATGGGAAAATTTAAGATTCCTATCCTTTCCCTTCTTCCTTCTCTCCTTTCTTCAACTAGCTTTTACTAAGCACCTACTATATACCAGGCCTGGAGGAGCTCACAGTCAGCAGGTTATAATAGAGTGTGATACTGAAGCTCAGAGCACTGTAGGAGGATGGAGGAAGGGTACTAATCCTGCCTGGAATAGATGTAGGAATAGGTAAGGAATGGGGAAATATTTCCATTGACTTTTCCAGTTTACATGGGACAAAACCTCTTTTCTACAGTTACTTGGGTGACTGAGGTGGGAAGATTGCTTGAGCCAAAGGGACCAGGGTCTAAATTTCCACTGTATATTCAAGAAAGTCATTACACCAAAGTATGTTAAGGGTGTTAGGTCTTCAAGAGGCTCTTGGACAATTGGGACACAGCTCTACATCAAGATTGCTACCTCACTTCCTGCAAGTCTTAACTCAGCTGTCTTTTTTCCATGAAGCTTTCCCTGGTCTCCCTGTATAAAACTGCAAAATCCCACTACCACCTCTAATGCATCCTATCCCTCTTTCTTGCTTTATTTTTTCCTTAGCATTTATCATTATTTAAGATATTATCGTGTTTTACTTATTTATCTCATTTCTTGTCTCTCTGCCTTACAATACTGTAAGTTCTTCCACAAGGATAGGAATTTCAGCCTATAGTCATAGTACCTGGAACATAGTAGCCATTCAATAAGTATTTGAGGAAGGAAAGAAAGAAGGAAGGGCAGCCTCTGTCCAAGTCAAAACTGGGTCACATGGCCCCCAGGACTGCCCCAGGATGGTAATTTAGTTGTAGCACCTATAACTTCTGCCCTCCAATGTTGGTCCCTAAGCCCCCAATTAAAATCCTATAGAAATCTCACTTTGTTAAGAAGATGTACTTAGTTTGTACACAGTTTGTCAAGTCAGCTGAATTTTTTCTGGTGCCCTCTGCCTCACCCAGCACACATGTGGTTAGCTGTAAGAGTCCAATGTGTGTTAATAGGTTTACCAACAAGAGCTTACCACGGTGTGAGAAGGTGATGAGTTCTCACCTGTGCTTCTGTAGTTGAACACAGTTGGGGTTCCCAATGTTATGCTTTCCTATGAGAACTTTCTTTTGTCACTGCAATTCTATTTCAGGCACAGGAATATGCCATGAGAGCCCTCAGTCTAGCCAAAGAACAGCAGCTCGATGTCCAAGAACAAAGCACCATTCAAGAGTTATTAAGTCTCATCTCAGCTGAAGATCATCCCATTACTTAGTGACCCATGAGCTCTGCATCAGGGGTTATTCAAGGAGCTACTAAATATGCAGTAAATTCCAGTCTTTCACAATGGCTTTGAGGTACTCTAAATTGCTGAGGCGTCCACCCTCGTCCCTTGGGATTGCACACATAGCTGTGATTTTATTCTTACATAGCATATGTGGGAGAATATAGAGCTTTAGGCATAGAAATTAGTAACACTTGCTTATCATGTGCTTTGTACTTGGTTTATTATGACTTTGTATGACTGAATAATGTGTCATCAGATCACTATATGGCATTTGTAATTAAACTGCACATAATTGGTTATTTTTCCAGAAGTATTTCAGTGGTGCATGTTTCATAGGTCTTTGCTAAGGAGCAGAGAATAGAGCTATATTGGAACAAAGTTTCTCTATTCTTGATTCTATACTGAAATTAAATTAGCATTGATCTAAGATAGATTGTGATAAAGTATTCAATATAATTCCTAGGGCAATCACTAAAAAAAGAGCTCTAAGAATAGTTAAAAATCAGCAACAGGATTAACATGGTATACTAGAAAATTCCACTTAAAACAAAAGAAGGCAGTAAGGGAGGAATATAAAGGGCATGACATATAGAAAACAAATAGCAAAATGCAGACATAAATCAGACATAAAGTCCTCATACAACAGCAAAGGTCCCTGGGCCTCTAGTGGAGCCTCAGTGTGGATCGGCTGAGACACCATTCCAGGTTGGTGTCTTTCTTATCTCGGATGTAGTTTGAAGCAGACATGAGCTACCTAAACTATCTAGGGGAGAGCATTCTAAAAGACCCTCTGTGATGCACAGGACAGAGTGCAAACCTTGGACTGGACATGACTGAGTTCAAATTCCAGCTGTCTCTCATAATTGCTATGTGACCTTGATCTCCCCACAGCCTCATTTATTATTGTTGTGAAATGGCCCAGATGTGGCCACAGCTATATCAGCTTATCCTTTCTTGAAGACTCTGGTAATTTAGAATATCCTTTTTGTCTCCTTTAGTTCTGCTCCAGTGTTGCCAAGCAGCACTTGGCTTCCTTGATATATCTGCACACAGGAGAGGATGTGAAGTTTAAGAACCTGTCAGAGAGCTTTATGTTCCTCACAGTAAATTAATTCACTCAGACACATAAATAAAAATATGTCAGATGGGTCACCCTGCCCCTTCAGGTAAAATCAGCTGGAACCCTCATTCCATACCTTTGGGCATTCTTAGTTGTCTCTAAGATGACTATGAAGTCCCAGGGGGCTTACTTGTCTTTCAGCAGCTCTTGATCCAGTTTTTAGCTTCAACTGAATTCTCGCTCTCCAGTCTGCACTATATAGCTGTTTCTTTTTCTTTTTTATAAACGTAGCCCTTTCTACTTGATTCTCAGTATCTAACTCCAAATATTAGCCAGCTCTTTCAAAATAGACTCTTAATGAAGATTGGAGGGGTGAGGAGGAGGAGGATCAACAGTTCTTCAACAGATAATTTAAAAGAAAATATTAGCATTTACCTATTCCAAAAAATCCTTAAAAGTCCATTTCATTAAACTCTAACTCTGTTCTTTACCATATTCATTGGCCTCTTTCTCTCCCTCCATCCTTATCTATGTTCTTTTCTCCCCAGCCCTGAATTCCTGTTCATTAATCCTTTTGTATTTAATATATTTATAAAGTTATTGTTTAGACTGTCTAAGTTTATCGTTTCTATTGACTGATTTTCTTCTTAGTTATAGGCCATAATGTTCTGCTTTTTTCATGCCTGGGAATTTAATTTTTAGTTTTTTTTCTATTTGAGGCTATAAAATTTCCTCTATATACTGTTTTAGCTGATCTCATATATTTTGAAATACAGTATTTTATTTGTTCTAAATATTTCTTAATTTTTATATTTTTATGACTCATGAGTCATTGAGAAGTATGATTTTTAGTTTCTTTTTTTTTTTTTTGAGTTGGAGTCTCACTCTGTTGCCTAGACTGGAGTGCAGTGGCCGCTCCCGGCCACCACAGCCTCGCCTGC